TGTCACTGCTGTGCTGCTGTTATTCACTAAATGACATCATTTCCATCAGGTAAAAAGTAGCTGATAAGGTAACACTGACACTTTACAGCTCATGTGAAGGTCCTGACTGAGTTCAATCTTTAAATCTACAGTTAATTTTTAACTTGTTATAAAATAGTCCATATTTAAGACTGACAGTGATGGGAATAACGGCGTTCTAAATAACGGCGTTACTTTTTTCCAGTAACGAGTAATCTAATTGATTACTCTTCCCATCTTAATAACACCGTTACCGTTACTACAAACAATGCGGCGCGTTGCTATAATTGAAGCTGTTTTTTTCATCAGACCAACTAGATCTCTGAGCTTAGAGGCAAAGACTTTTTTTTTACTGTTCTTCCTTGGTTAGTGGGCAGTGCACGAGACAAGCGCATACATGCTGACGATTGGCTGAGGTTGAGTAAAATTTCATGGTAAGCCAATCAGAGGTAGAGTTGGGCGGGTGTTCGAAAGCACGCATAGTCGGACACACAACGAACAACACAAGTGAGTCAGTCAACGAGAGACAGGTATGGCGAGCCCAAATAATCAAAAAGTAGCCTTCTCTAAATGGAAGTATAGCCATTACTTTTCCCTCCAAGAAATCAAAGCAACGAATGTCATCGTGAAATGCACATTATGCCCTGGGCAAAAGTTCCTATCCACGTCGGTGTCAAGTAATTCGAACTTACTCAAACATCTTTTAACGTTGCATGCTTCCACGAAATTAGTGGCCAAGACCACCGAAGGAGAAGGAGACAGTGCCACAAAACCCAAGCAACTGAAGCTTGATTTTAAGGCCCCGCCACCACACGTTTTGTCTCAGACGGAACTGAACAAACTGGTAGCCAGGTATGTAGTGGAGGATATGCTGCCATTATCTACGGTTGAATCGGACTCATTCAGGGCACTAGTTGCCAAAATACCGGTCAGAGGAGGGGTAGCCCTACCGTGTAGAAAGACATTTTTGAACTATATAGACGGCCAATATACTCAAATGAATGTGGAGCTCAAACAAACGTTTGAGAAGTTAGAATATGTGTCTACCACAGCAGACATATGGACTGCATGTAACAAGAGCTATCTAGGCGTAACGGCGCATTGGATAAATCCGCAAAGCATGGAGCGAGGTAAGGTAGCCCTGGCATGCAGGAGGTTCAAGGGACGCCATACATACGACCAAATTGCAACGGAGCTTTATCATATCTACTCCTCATATGGGATATCATTCAAAATCACCACAACAGTCACAGATGATGGCTCAAATTTTGTAAAGGCCTTCAAAATGTATCAGCTAGTGGACCGGGATGACGAGGATGAGGTGACGTTTACTGACATCAGTGGATGCTGTCTTGGCTGCTGTGACTTTGCCCAAGTTCAAACTACGTTGACTGCGGACACAGGAAAGGAAGGACAAGGCCAAGGCAAGTCTGCTGGCAGAGTGTCGGAAAATTGTCCAAGAAGACCAGCAGGCAGGTACCAGCCCACCAACACGCCACCTCAGCACAGACTCTGCCATAGAGGAAGAGTTCTTTTCCTTTGAGGATGAGGATGACACCTCTGCTACTGCTGAAAGTCAAGTTGCAGATTATTTAAAATCAGTAGAACAAGGGATAGACCCTCTTAATGGATTTGCACTGATAAAGAAAATCTCACTCCGGCATAATGCAGCCACTCCATCCAGTGCCCCAGTAGAGACTTTTTAGCCTGGGGAAGCTGGTCTTGACTCCACTGAGGAACAGGCTCTCTGACCAGAAGTTTGAGAAGCTTTTGGTGTTGAGATACAACCACTGGTTCAATGACAAGAGTGGGTGGATGGATAGCTAGATAGGGTAGCTTTGATGGATGGGGAGAATAAAATGATGGAATGAATGAATGTTCAGGAGCTAAAGTTGGATATAGTATGTCTGAAGTTGTGTTGCATCTTATTACATTTGCACTGAAAAGAGTGGATATATTTTTTGAATACATTGTTGGTACATTTGGTACATTCCTCTTTAAGTGAGATTGTCAATGGCCAGAGAAAGAGATTTATTTTTATGGAGATGTATTTTTTATTTATTATTTATTTGCTATACATTGTACTTTTCAGTTAGATTGAAAGCACCTCATACTGTTACACTGTTCTACTTTTTCAAGGAAGAAAATACTTTAAGTTCAGTATATCTATCAATTGTCTGAAGTTTTTTGTGTTTTATTTGCACTACAAAGAGTGTATATATTTGTTATTAACTTTTGGTATAGTGCTTAACAAGCATAATTTAATTTTGCCCAGTTGTGGCCTGTTGAGGGGCAATAAATATCAAAAGTTCCAAAACATCTATTGTGTTATTTGTATCGATCCACTATATAAACATAATATCTACATACATGGCATTTGATTGGAGGCTAGTCTCACTTTGTCCCACAGCAACATTAAAATAGTTTAGATTTGTGTACATTGTTTCTGTTGATAATGTATTGTAGTAAGAGTCCATTTCATTATAAGATTCAGATTTATCATAAATAATTGAACATGCACATGTATTTTAAGTTCCGTTAAAGAGGAGGTGGGGGTCACATTTGAGCATTTAAAAATGTACTTGAAAGTAACGCAATAGTTACTTTCTGAAGTAACTAGTTACTTTTATAATTTGTAACTGAGTAACTACTTAAGTTACTTTTTGGAAGAAGTAAAAAGTAACTGTAACTAATTACATTTTAAAAGTAACTTGCCCAACACTGAAGACTGACATATCTATATGATGAGCATGAGCATACAAGACCTGCAGTAAGTAGAATGATTAATTCTACATATAAAATTGTTAATTCCTGCCACTGGGTCAGATTAAATCAGATTTAGTTTCAGAGAAACTCTACTGCTTTTGTCCACAGGCACCAACAGAATCTACAAATAATAAAATTTCCTTGTTGCTACATTAATCAGATGGTATACTACTATTAAATTATACTAGAAACACATCCGTTACTTATTAAACACTTTACTGAAAATAAATCACCGACAATGTTGATTTTCAGCTCCAAAGAGGAAGATTGTTTGCTTCTTTCATATTCAGAAATACATTTTGTATGCTTTAAGTCAGCTGATAATGAAAGATAAGTGTCAAACATTATACCCAGACTATGAATGCTGAGTTTAACATCAACAGACAGCATATTTGCTCTCACCTGCTTTACAGGATTTTGTGGGAAATTAAAATCTAGATAAACTCAATTGTACGATGATCTGAAACACCAGCTCTTCACATGTTTTATACCATGGTCGGAGTGAATACTGGATTCTGATTGGCTGCTGGATGTCCATTAATTCCTGATGTAGGACACTTAACTGCCCCTCTGAACTTATTGATACTTTATATTAGTGATCCTCCCACATCCCATATGCTATTCAGCTCACTACTTCAGACTGCAACCGTCAGTCCACAGGACCTCTTGTTGGTGAAAATCTTGATTTGATTTGGGGACAATGACATGGCTGATAGCTAGCTAGGCTTGTGTTTAAACATACTGTCATGTTAAATTCAATGTTTGTTGACCGTACACAATGTTACTGAGAATCTTGCTATCATAATGTCAGCTCTCTGTCTCATAGCTGAGCCAAAGCGCTCTCTGAGTAGAGGGAACTAGAAATATCTTCAGTTTCCAAGTTGTATCTATGGTTCGTCCTATTTACTGGAGTAGTGAACATTGTTTTTGTTGCATCAGAACCTTATAGGTTGGTAATGATTCTTCCAGGTATTAGTCAAACCCTCAGGTGTTACCAGGGAAACACTAGGGCTTGTAAAATAATTTAGACTTTGATTGCAAACATGAAACTATAAAATACAGATTATTATTCTTCATTGGAAAGTGACCATGGTATAAGTGGATTCATGCAGTTTGAGGTGTCCATTTTACAGAATGAATGGACACCCACATGGTCGATTAATTCCTGATAGTAGACACATTGTCAGACATTATCCTTTACATAAACCAGCCATTCAATCCCATACCATTGAAGTTTAACAGTGTGTGACTCCCTCTAGTGGATGTTGTGGAGTATTCTGTTGTCTTTGCTCCAAAGGTTTTTGTACAGAGTTTTGGTGTTTCCTGTCACTGTGGGCCGCAGAGCACAGTAGTACACAGCAGAGTCAGACAGCTGAAGCTTCTGGATCTTCAGAGGAACTGATCTTGAGGTTGAATCCAGTGTGGATGAAAATCTCTCCTTAAACTCATCTGCTGTGGTTCCTTCATCTCGTTGAATGCGGCTCAGTATGAATTTGGGGCTGTTGTTTCCATCCTGTTTGTACCAGAAGAGATAATTACTTGTTGAACTGCTGTTATATTGACAGTCAAGTGTTACTTCCTCTCCTTCAGTCGCAGTCACATCTCCTTTTGGTTGCAGCACGTTGTCTCTTTGTGCTCTGCATTCTGTAAAACAGCAACAAACAGGATCAGTGTGCTGTTAAAGAATCATGTCAATGTTGGATTGATATCACAGAAACAGAGTTGTGTTCATACCAAGGCACAGAGCAGCCAGCAACACTGAGATGAACAGAGGCTGCGTCATATCTGCAGTGTTGAGTAACTGTGAGCTACAGCAAGTAGAAAGAAGGCTGTGATCTCTCTGTTTAGTCTTCATCAACACTAAGTTGGTGGATTAGAAGGAGGAGCCTGATCACACTGACAGGCCTCATTCACAGCCCTGTCTTATATGATTACAAATCAACAAACAGTCCATCATTTACTGCAGTTCAATCAGATGGAAAACAAAACTGAATAAAAATGGTAAAGACCAGAAACTGTAAAGGTGGACTTCTGCTGAGAAATATTCAGACTGTACCCAGTCCAGCTGGTAACAGATCAGCTCAGTATGCTCAGTATATGACTGAATATTTGAGCTATAAAATACTGGACCCAGTCTGACCTGGTAAATGTTGGGAACAAATAGACATTTTGTTGGAATGAAACAATGTATGATAAATGCACTTTAGATACATAAATCAGGTCACAAATCTATTTATTTAAACGTTTGTATGTTAGACACGTTGTTGTTCAGATGTCACATATTACTCATTTTAATTTTCAGTGTTGATTTATTTGTTTCCATGGTGTCTTGTGTTTGAAGCATCATCCAGTTGGTTTGTCATTGATGTGGATTTGCTGCTCATGTGAATCCTCCCACAGTGTTTCATTAGCAGCTGTAACCACAGTGACTCTGATAAAACAGGAATTAGCAGAATCCATCTGATATGAAGCTGTGGTTTGAATACCACTTCCCTCCTCTTTGAAGAGTAGTCAGATATCTGTGTTCAGGTTTTTGTACAGCCTCTTCTACACTTTGTATCACTGTGTTTCTAGAGCACAGTAGTAGAGAGCTGTGTCTGCCAGGGTTAGTTTTCTGATGGTCAGTTCAGTTGATGAATCTGTTGTTTTAGATTCATATCGTTTATCTGGAATGTATTCAGCTGAAGATCCTTTTGCTCCTTTCTAGAGTATAAACTGAGGAGCCTGAAGGTCAGAATGTCTGTACCAGTGAAGGTCTATATAGCTGCCAGCTGTCTCATATCGACATCTGAGTGTGACAGATTCTCCTTCTCTTCCACTGACTTTATCTCCTACAGGAGAGATTGTGTCTCCAGCTATTAGTCCTGGAAAAAGTGGAGAAAATGAAGCCATTAGACTAACATTGTTCATGAGGCTGAGAGGAGAAGACAGTGGAAAATATCAAGTGTACAGTGTTACTCTGTGGACAGAAACAGCTCAACTGTTGAGAGATTTCTGCTCTGAACTCCAGTTTCCATCAATCTTTAGAAAAGAATAAAAACATGTTGTGCTTTCTATCTTACCAAAGAAAAGAGCAGCAAGAATAATCCACAGCCAATGTTCCATCTCTACAACAAGGTTTAAATCAACAGGAGAAACTAGCTGATGTTCAACATTCAGTGTGACAATTGTTCTCTTCACAGCAGCAGTTATTATTGACAGAATGGTTGAACACAGTGCAGAAGTAGTGCACCGCCTACTTGATAATGTCGCCCTCTAGTGGAGCTAAAAAGTTGAGTCCAACAGTGTGGAAAAAAGGCTTCCAGCAGCTTGTCAGTGTGTCAGCTTGTGTTTTTGTACAGAGACTGTGGGTTTGCTGTCACTGTGGGCCTCACAGCACAGTAGTACAGAGCAGAGTCTGTCACTGCAGCAGAGGAGATCTGCAGATCCATTTGGGTTTTATCCTCACTCACTGTAACTGACAGTCTAGAGGTTGTTGCATTTTGTGTTCCCAAGTGAGAGATGAGGAACTCTGGTGGTTTTCCTGGATATTGTCGATACCAGAAGAAATAATCACTACCAGTTGCTTGTTTGTAGTATGTGTAGGACAGAGTAACAGTGCTGTCTTCTAAACTGGACTCTTGTTTCTTCAGTGGAGTGAGTTCTTCACAGCTGACACCTAAAGGAAGAAATAACTCTGTTATACAAAGTTGTACAATTCTTTCCATCACTCTATTCAGAAAATATTGGAGTGAAACTTTAAAAAAGTTAAACCTTTGAGAATGACCAGAAATATCAGAGAAAACACACAATGATGCAGTGACAGCATGTTGAATAAAGGTAATGTTTCTGGTTTGTGTATTGAACTCTGCTGAATATGGAAGTTCCTCTCTCTTCTATAGTTCAGTAACAGCTTAGCTCCTCCCTCAATCTCTCCCTCTCCTCTTAGATCTGTATTTTCTTCCCCCTGGTTAACAGACCGGTAGCAGCATTTTCTACCAGCTGGAGGTGGGAAGGCTTTTGTTGTTTATTCTTTTATCACTGTCACTGAGTTACATGTGATGATTTAAAGGGTGGATAGCACCTTTTTAAGGTTTGCAAACACAAGAAGGACACAATTTGTTCTCCTTAATGGAGAAAATATTGTTTCATCCCAATACAACTGAAGTCAGCTGATAATAAAAGGGAACCTCAGCACCACATATTGTATCGGGTTGCTTAACATCAACAAACAGTTTAGAATTATTAGATTTTACCCAGTTTTCAGAGGTTAAGGGGCAAATAAACAGATCTCAGATCTAGAGTCACTCAATTAGTGAATCTGGAACACTTGACATGTAATAAACCAGTTGCCAGAAGCTTCTATACAAATGAATCTACAAAGTTTGGATTTTTTTAAAATTTTTATCTAGGGGCAACATTTAAACTACATGAAAAATGACAGGACCTAGGATTGAACCCTGTGGTACACCACACGATTTTAAGAGCACATATTTGTGATGCGCACACAATTATTTCTTGTTTTAAATATGTGCAATAAAAATTTACAAATGCACAAATTGTCAGGTATTTGCAATTTTCATCAAATACATATTTGGAAGTTGTTACATTGATATATGAATTGTCAAACCCGCATTTGTCTCAGTGCTTTTAATTTGTAAACCTCCCTGCATTTGTGTGTGGATTTTTGAGACTTTCCTGACGTGACTCCGATACACAAATGCATTTTTTCTACAAGGGGTCGTCTGCAGCCAATCAGATGTCTCACCCCTTTACAGCCAATTACATAATTGAAGAAATGGGGCATAATGTACATGTCCAGCTGAAAGAGAAAGCTAAAGATTTTGAGTGTTTTGCAATGACGTGCAGGACACAGCACAACTGCAGATTTTTATTCAGGGAGTTAATTCAACTTTTGAAGTGTCCGAGGAGCTGGCAGTCTCTACAAAGTTGGATTTAGACTGGGCTAAGCTGGCGAGCATCACAACGGACGGTGCTCCGAGTATGGTTGGTGCGTCGCGGGGGCTAGTGGGGCGCATAAAAAGAGAAATGGAGGAACGAGGTCTCACCCCCCACTACAAGTCCACTGCCTGATTCACCAGCAAGCACTGTGCTGCAAAGTTCTGAAGTGGGAATCTGTCATGAAGGTGGTTGTGTCTTGCTTAAACTTCATCAGAGCAAACGGACTAAAACACAGGCAGTTCCAAGCTTTTCTATCCGAGCTGGAGTCTGCCCATGGAGACGTGCTTTACCACGCTGAAGTCAGATGGTTAAGCCGGGGTAGAGTTTTGAAGCACTTCTACAAGCTGCTACCTGAAATCAACCCCTTTCTCCTGACAAAGGGAAAAACTGTCCCAGAGCTGATCGACACAGAATGGAAATGGGACCTTGCCTTTTTAACAGAAATTTTAAACAGCCTCAATTTACAGCTCCAAGGCAAGGGGAAATTAATCTGTGACATGTATTCCCACGTCAAAGCATTTGAGGTTAAACTGGCGCTGCTTATTGGACAAGTGCAAAAACAAGACTTCACCCATCTCCCTGCTACTCGAAGCCTCTCAGCTGAGGAGCCAGCGGTCCCGTTTCCAACCAAGAAGTGCAAGGACGCACCGACATTAATGACACCTTGCCTTCTCTTCAATTTGAACTGGCTGAGTTGCAGACCTGCGATGTGCTGAAAGACGCATTCAAGCCCAACTGTCTCATAGAGTACTATGCTTCCCTCCCAAACGAGACCTACCTGTTACCTTTTCAACCTCTTTCTCTCTCTCCGAACCGTAGTTGGGAGATGGTTTAGTGTTTTGGCTCTTAGAGTCCGGGCCAAAGTGTGGGAAGGAAGGAGGACGAAGTAAAGACTTTCGTGCAAAACCACACATTTAATTCCTTTCTTTAGCAAAGGCAGAACACAACACCGGGCCTGGTCAAATTCTGTCTGGACACTGCTGTATACTAAACACCTAGGCATTAACATGAGCTAGCTCTTCTACGTCCGTCTGTCACCATGGATGTCTACCTCTCCTCTTCCTGTTTTTCTTCCTGAACCTGTACGTCACACACACCGGGTCACCGTCTTAAAGGGGCAGGGCTGGCCGGTAACATACCCCAACATCAGAAAGCACGCTATGAAGATGTCCAGTTTTTGGGAGCACATATATCTGTGAGCAAACTTTTTCACGTATGAAGTTGATAAAAAATGCGACGAGATCAAGACTCTCAGATCAACACCTGCATCAGTCTCTGAGACTGGCTGTAACTGGAATGGAACCTGACATCAATCTCCTCACCAGTCAGAAGCAAGCCCACAGCTCACACTGATGTGGTAAGCCTGCTGATTTCAGTAACTATGAATATGAAAAAATGTCAGTATAGTAATGCTCTTTTTATAGGCAACATGTTTCTTGAACAGTGATGTCACATACAAAATGAGACTGCAGCATGTCATCTGCTGATGGGCTGCTTGTGTTTTTTATCTGCCATTCCTGAAGGGCCTGTGTTACAGGTACCGGCTGGCACCACATCAACAGCTTATATGCTCTTCCTGGAAACAGGAGAAATAAGTGAGACAGGGCAAACTCTGCGTCCGTTTTTCATCTCGCTCAGCAGAAAGAGGAGAGAGGATTTATTAAAACATTTACCATTTAAATCCTCGTCTGTTACAAACACTCAATGTTTTCAAAGAAATAAACATGGCTTCATAATCAAATACAATTTCTCTTTCCTTATCTTTCAGCAAATACTGAGTTATAAGTTTTGTGCGATTAAATAAATCAAAATGACAATAACCACTGTTACCCTGTAAGTTGTCTCTTTTCAACTTAAAATAAAACATAGCTTATGTTACCACTTACATATAAAACATAGCTGATGTTACCACTTACATATGGTTCCTAAATGCATTTTCCCTTTCCAACTAAAATCATTTTACTCTTCCATAATGCATGAGCTGACAGATTTTTAACTTGTTTTTTTTACCACTTTTAAAATATATAAAATTGTGCTTTTAACATTAGCTTCTAACTGTTTTACAGTACATGAACTCAGTTTTTAACAATTTACACAAAATCATACGTTTCAAAACTATTACATTTGACAAAAATGTTCAAGGAGCTAAAAATAAAACTCTGACCGACGTGACTCAGGTAGCAACAGGTGATATCATCAGGCGCGAAACCGCGACTACTGCTATATGTACATAAATGTCCTCATATTCATAAAACAGCCTTATTAGCGGACATTAAATCATTCAGTGACATGTCAACGTATTGCACTTCAGTTACTTAGCTTAATTTACTATTCCACCAACCTGGAAACAGGAGAAATAAGTGAGACAGGGCAAACTCTGCGTCCGTTTTTCATCTCGCTCAGCAGAAAGAGGAAAACTGCAAAGCGGACCAAACTGACGTAAAGCCCCCGGAACACAATAAGCGCCACACTGCCCCCTGCTGGTGACCCCCAATTACTCCTGACATCTATATTAAATATTTTAGTGCAAGGATGGTGGAAACAGGTTAATTACCCCTGAACTAATATTCAAACCATTAATTATAAAATTACAGAAACTACCACAAATGTGATAACACTTTAGTGGGCATCACACCTGCATGCTTCCAGGACCACCCTAAAGTCAGGAGGAGAGATTGTGGTTGACCGCTCCCACCCTGGAGCCAGGATCCTCATCATCACAGCACAAAAACCTAATCTAAGAGTCATGTAAATACAAAACCAGATCACATCATATACCTGTTTATTACAATTATTCTGTATTAATGTTATTTCACTGTGGCCTTAGTAAACATACCTGTTAGACGAAATAATATGTTATGCATTGTTAACTCACCTTTATCTGAGAATACAAAATCAGCTCAACAAGATAAGACTACCTGATTCTTACCATTATTCTGTTTTAATATTATTTCACTGTGTGGCCTTAAGAAACAAAGTAACCTGTAAAGACAAAATACTTACCTGTTGTTAACTCACCTTTACTTTACTCTGTACATACAAATTCAGCTCACCTAGATAAGATTACTTCACCTGATTTCTACTATAATTCTGTATTTATGTTATTTCACTACCTGTAAAGACAAAATACCTACCAAATGTTAACTCACCTGTACCTGTTACAAAATCACATCACCTCATTGTTACCTGGCATCAGCTTGTGTTTTCATTTTCTACAAAATAAAAGGAGTATCTGTGGTACTTCAAATAAGACTTTCTATTACTTTTTTGCAGACCAACAGGTGGTGCCAAGGCCCAGCGAAGGGCAGCTGCAAAAAAATTATCATTATAATCTCCACAATAATACTGGTTGTCACTTTGGC